CACTTGCATGATAGCCCCGCCGTTTGGATTCATCTCTACAGGCCCAAGACTCCAAACTGCAAATTTTCCTCGGTTTGTTACTGCAACTAAGTAATCACCAGTTTTATTAACATCCATTTTAACAATGAACTCTCCGATTTCAAAATCAAATGCTGATAACGTGTCGCTTGAGTCACGTCTTAAGTCCCACGTATACATAGCACCCGAAGAGTCCGCGACAATTAAAACAACCTGGTTAGGATGTAATACAACAGCAGTTACAGGTGCACTTACCTGAAGTGCTAACAGTATACTATTATGACCAAATAGCAACAATTATAAGAAGAAATCTAAGGTGATTTGAATTCTTCAAAATTTTTGAACTTAGGATCCATGTACCTAAATTGTTTTAAAAAAACTATATGGAATTCCTCCTTAATGATTGTGAATTAAACTAAAAGAACTTTGCAACAAACACTAAAAAATAATTAGTGGTAAAAAAAAAATTAAAGTACAGACGAAGACTAGACAAGAAATGTCGAAAGTTGAAAAAATGAACACCTAAACTGCTACAATTATTACCATTCCAAACAAATTAACCTGAAATATTCTTTGACACTGAAGAGCAGATCGGAAATCCCATACTTTTGCTGTATTATCTTCGCCACCTGTATACATCCATTGTCCTCTTTCTTCATAACCAACTGACATTACGTTCTTCTGCAGGTTGTCACACGTGTGGAGTATTGGAGGATTTGGAGTCTACGAAGAAACATCGTGAAACAACGCATAAAACTTGTTACTTTTAAGAAAAAATGTTATTATTACCGGAAACTAAGAAAACTACGCATAGAGGAACAGCTCACCCGAACGTCATAAATCCTTAAATGTTGCCACCCCGCTACAGCCAACTGAGAAGCATCAGGTGAAAACTGAATAGAGTTCACTTGTGACTCTTTGTACCTAATGGTATCCAAGGTATTAGCAGTGGCTACATCCCATAGACGAATAACTTGATCGTACGCCGCTGATGCCAGGAAAGGTCGCTGATCACCCATCCCATAAATGCGGCTAAAGCTAAATGATTTTAAAGAGATATGTACAGATGTCGACCGGAAAACATAATTGATACTCGAACCCCGAAACGAAAAAATATCACTAGTCACTTAAAAGAAATAAAAATTGATGATCAAAATATCATCAAACAAGAAAATGTCATTCTGTAATCAAAAAAAAAAAGTCACCATCATGAACACGCAAAAACGAATCAGAAATAAAAGTTTATCATCATTTGAGATGTTCGGTCGTACTATCTTGTGGCCATCTCAACCAGTATTTTTATTTAAAAGCAGAAGAACTATAAATGCAGGTCTTCGAACAATGTGTAAGATACTTCTTAAACAGTCAAAAGCACTTGTTCAGCGACCTTCAACCTAATTACGAACAGTATAAAAAATTGATTTTCAAAAAAGTCCTGATCAAACAAAAATTAGTCGACCAATGTTCACCAACAACATTAGTGCAGTTTTTAGTCATTATTTTTTTATTATCAAGTCCCGTAATGAGAGTCAACTTTATAACTGCTATTCTCATTCTATCCTCCATAATCAACATGTGAATTCCATTGTTTAGATGACAAGAGAAAAAAAAAATTTATTGCAATTACCAGTACTGCAATAAGTGAATACTACAACAATTATGCTTTACAAAATGGTTAACTCTGGTTCTAAAAAACCTAAGACATCTGTTTACATTCCTGCTCTGTAAGAATATAAAAGTCAGAACAACAGAAAAATCCTTCAATAAAAAAAAATTTAAAAAAAAAAAAAAAGAAGAATAAGTAGAACAAATTCTACTACTGAACTTACCAGATAGTAAGAAAAAATTTTTCTAAAAATTCTTGACAACAATAACTAAGACTATTAAGCACTCATAAACTGAAATTAAATTCCACAACCTTAACAGCACTTATGTTCGACTTGTTAAGCTCAGTGATGATGCACATAAATATATATAAGCAAGCAAACTATGTGGAGGAAATTCCTGGTAACTGTTTGACAGAACCGTTTCCCATCACTATTGGCGCAACATGGCGATAATACGGTTCGCCATCAG